AGAGAGAGATATGGCTCACTAAGAAAATCACCAAGGGATTAAAATTCCTACCTCATTTATGGTGAAGAGTGGATATTGCACATATGGTTGTAATACAGGGGTATAGAGGATAAGCTTTTGCTTTTAATGATTACTTATATCTGATTAAAGGTATCAATAAAGACGAGTTAGGAGATACTTACAATAAGCATACCTTATGAGTGTTAAACTGGGGCCGGTTCTATGAGAATGAAAAGCAAATTTCTAGAAACACTTTTGAAACCAGGCGCGTTCAATGGCCGAAATGAACACAACAGTGAAACCACGATGTGTTAGAAGATATTTTATGTGAAATCTATTGTCTTGGCTTACACAACGGCTGACACAATCAAGGGCAATCGCGTCCATTGGTTAGCCAGTAAGTCGATAGGTTATCACTAGGAAGGTTCGAGGCCGAACTACATATCCTTATGCAAGATATTTTTCGACTTAACTCCTTTCGTTAAGTCCTGCAATATTGTTGCAATTTCTGTTGTCATCAAATTCCATTCATCGTGGGGATTGTTGGAGAATGGTAGAAAAAAATTTGGGTAAAACCCAATAATTTTTTCTCAGTTTGGGTCTATTTTTTTAGGTGGGCCCCCCCCCGAAGCGTTCGATTTACTCGGGTCAAAAGTGGTAACGCGTTCCTATGCCGCGTTGTGATTCACGGTGGTATATTTGGTTGCTCAAAACCATTACTCGAGTGAATGGGAAATTGAACCAAAGTGTGCTCCATGGAAAATGGAGTTTTGGTGGAAATTCCCTTAAGGTTGTAAATTGGCTGTCCACATTGATTTGGTGTACAAGAAGTTTGAAAGGGTTTATAAGGCTTGGGTGAGATACTTGGGGTGTGCCCCAAGGGGTACCCAAGTGTTTTTAAAGAGGGAGAGGTTATGGGAAAAATGAGCTAGATCATTGGATCCAAAATCACCACACGGCGCGGCGCCGCGCCGCCGTCCGTCCGGTCGGGCGGGCTTTGGCTTGGGGTTGGGCTTTCTAATCTTTTTGGACCAAAATATATGTGACGAGTTGCTCCAGTGTCAACCCACCACTCTTTGGGATTTCCAACCAAGTTAGCCTCAGACACCATAGCAGATAGGTTGATGTCATTCACTCTGTCAGAGATGTAATCCAATTCTGTTACATTGGCTTGATTGGGGGGGTTCTTACTTGTATTTTCATGATCCTTCTTAGGGCGGGGGCAGTCAGAAGCTCGATGTCCAGTCTTGCCATAGTTATAGCATTTTCCTTTGAACTTCTTGCTACTATCGCCTATTTGATGTATTTCTAAATTAAACAACGCTGCTATAGCAATAAGCATGCGAATGGATGTTATTCTTGTCACAGGGGAATATGTGTCAAAATAGTCCTGACCTTCCTTTTGTCTGTAACCTTTAACAACAAGTCTTGCTTTATACTTGTCAATTGAACCATCTGCTTTCATTTTTCTCTTGAATATCCATTTATATCCAAGAGGTTTAGAACCTGGTGGAAGATCCACCAATTCCCAAGTATGATTTTGCATAATGGATTCAATTTCATTATTAACAGCCTCTTTCCACAAAGGTGCTTCAGGACCTGTCATTGCTGCCTTAAAGCTTTGAGGTTCATTTTCTAACAAGTATGTCAGAAAATCTGGACCAAAGGATTTTGATGTTCTCGCTCTCTTACTTCGCCTTGGTTCATCATCAGTTAAATCCTTTTGGTCGAGACCATTACTAGTCTCTTGTGTTTGATTGTCATTAGTCTCTTGACTTTGTGTACAATCATAAGTTCTTTTCCGTGAATTTAATTCCTGTCCTTTCTTGTAAGGAAAGACATGTTCAAAAACCACAACATTCCTTGACTCTATAATAGTGTTCACATTTATATCAGGTATTTCTGATTTATAAGTCAGAAACCGATATGCACTACTATTCTGAGCATAACCAATAAACACACAGTCTACTATTTTTGGTTCAATCTTAGTCTTTTTAAGAACAGGAACTTCAACTTTTGCCAAACACCCCCACACTTTTAAGTATTTGTAGGAAGGTGGTCGACCTTTCCACAATTCATAAGGAATGCTGTTGGTTTTCTTGTGGGGTATTCTATTAAGAACATAATTAGCAGACAAAAATTGCTTCCCCCCACAAGTTCTGTGGTAAACCTGAACTTAGTAACATGGGTGCTGTAATTTGGTGAATAATGTCATGTTGTGTACAAAATACATTTAATGGTGCATCATATTCACCACCCCTATCACTTCTAATATAAA